CAGCAAGCTCCAGAATAAGCACTTAAAATCCCCGTCCCAGTCAACACTCCAAACCTTCCAACAAAGTCTTACACCGAAAAGGACCCTGCCGAGCTGAGGGCTGAAGCCCCGTGTCCTGGGACCTTTGGAAACAGCCCGCGGGCCAGGAGCTGCTGTGGACCGTGAAGGTGTAAGGCCCAGGCATGTCCCAAGCAAGACGCGTGGCTCCAGCAGAGGAATCTTCCCGGGAGCAAGCCAGGAGCCCTGGGCTCAAAATCACCCTCAGCAAGACCAAGGCCTCTGAGCGAGTCACTGCCTGCTCATCGCTTCCTTCTGGTCACATGGAAAGGCGAACTCACCGCGGGACACTTGCTAGTGTTTACTAAGGGGCAGCTTCCATGGCAGACCTGACAGCACATTCGAGAACAGTGCGAGGAAAACAGGAGTTATTTATAAAAATGCAAAGCACAAGAGAATACCGGGACCAGTGGCACAAGCAGGAACCAGGAAGTGACCGTGTGCCCAGCCTCTCACCTGACCCTGGGCAGGAGTATAAAGAACCCGGGCTCGGGGAGTTCCACACCTGCACACCTTCCTCTCACCTGCTCCTCTACCTGCTCCACCCTCAATCCACCAGAACCATGGGCTGCTGTGGCTGCTCTGGAGGCTGCGGCTCCGGCTGTGGGGGCTGTGGCTCCAGTTGTGGGGGCTGTGGCTCTGGCTGTGGAGGCTGTGGCTCCAGCTGCTGTGTGCCCGTCTGCTGCTGCAAGCCCGTGTGCTGCTGTGTGCCAGCCTGTTCCTGCTCTAGCTGTGGCTCCTGTGGAGGCTCCAAGGGGGGCTGTGGCTCCTGTGGGGGCTCCAAGGGGGGCTGTGGCCCTTGTGCCTGCTCCCAGTGCAGCTGCTGTAAACCCTGCTGCTCTTCCTCAGGCTGTGGGTCATCCTGCTGCCAGTCCAGCTGCTGCAAACCCTGCTGCTCCTCAGGCTGTGGGTCATCCTGCTGCCAGTCCAGCTGCTGCAAACCCTGCTACTGTTCCTCAGGCTGTGGGTCATCCTGCTCTCAGTCCAGCTGCTGCAAACCCTGCTGCTGTCAGTCCAGCTGCTGCAAACCCTGCTGCTGTCAGTCCAGCTGCTGCAAGCCCTGTTACTGCTCCTCAGGCTGTGGGTCATCCTGCTGCCAGTCCACCTGCTGCAAGCCCTGCTGTTCCCAGTCTAGCTGCTGTGTCCCCGTGTGCTGCCAGTGCAAGATCTGAGGCTCTGGACTCAGGCCTCATGTGAGTCCTGCTAATCCTGTCTTCCGAAGCTGTGACTTGTGCTTCATTGTTGAGCCTCAAACCACTGCTCAGAGTCCATTCCCCGCTATAGAATGAAGCCATATCTGGCTGCCTTTTCCTAAGGAGAGTTGACCCTAATTAATGTCCATTGTCTCTACTAACAAATTCTCTTCCCAAGTCACCTGCAACTAGGCTGAATCACCCCTCACCCGCTAGCCTTGCCTTTGCTCATCTATTCAGAGGCCTAAGCTCCTGAATCCACTTGTAGTCCTGTCTTTTCCAGCTAGAGCAGCTGGCCATGAGCATCCCACCTGCAACAAGGTGTGCGTTTAAGAGGCTTCCTTGGAGTGGCTTTGCATGTCCAAAGCTCTGCTTTATCTTAAATGGAAACTAATAAAAATACCGTGCTGACAAACTGAAACACATACCTTGCTGATTTCTCTGTTGTTCGGCGTCATTACTCTGGCTATGGCTACGGTTTTCTTGTTCTTGTTGTATTTCGGACTGCTTGGGTCTGATGGTGATGTCGGTGGAAGGTGCTAGGATGGGGCTAGCTGTCTCCCCTGCCTCTCGTCTCCTTCCCGGCTGACCCCTCTTTTCTCAGAACCCCTCTCTCCCCAGGTCTTTCCAGCTATGGATCTGATGGAGACAGAACTGTTCCTCAGGTGAGGGCCACAGAAGCAGAAGATGCTGCTGAAAACTACAGGGGGTTGGGTGAGGGGCGGGCGCGGTGGCTCACGCCTGTAATCCCAGCACTTTGGGAGGCCGGGGGGGCAGATCACCTGAGGTCAGGAGTTCGAGACCAGCCTGGCCAACATTGTGAAACTCTGTCTCTGCTAAAAATACAAAAATTAGCCGGGTGTGGTGGTGTGGGCCTGTAATCCTAGCTACTCAGGAGACTGAGGCAGGAGAATCACTTGAACTCAGGAGGTGGAGGTTGCAGTGAACCTTGCACCATTGCACTCCAGCCGGGCGATAGAGCAAGACTCTATCTCAAAAAAAAAAAAAAAAAAGAGGCAATATTAATAGAGTTGAATTATTTATTTCAAGTTATTTGGAAACACAGTAATTTATTGGTGGGATATGCCCTAAGCATAGAAAGAACACTAAAATAAAATTCCTAAGCTGTTTTTAGAAGTCATGGTGGCAGTGGGAGTATGGTTGATATCCTGCTGTGAATGTTGTATGGAAAAAGCAAATGCATAAATTAGGTTGGTATCAGAACTAGAATTTTTAGTGTGGAACTGATGAGGTTAAGTAAAAACCTTGTCATCCTGAATTTGAATTAGACATATCGATATGAAATCATGATGTATTTTATCCATCCCATGATGTATTATATCCATTTTTATATAGGAAACTATAAAAATAGTTTCCTCCTCCACTGAAAGACTCAGAAACAATGAGCCATCCTGTAGCAGTGAACACGCCCAGCACCAATTGTTGTCTTCAAATGCTGTTTATTGTATCTCCTTGGAACCTGGCTTTTCTGATGAATCGGCTGGAAGTGAACAAGATAAATCTAGAACATCTTGTCATCCCAGAAAGCAGAGATGATAACTAAGACTAAAGCAGTCATATCAAAAGAACTAAAGAGTCAGCAGGGCAAGGTGGCTGACGCCTGTAATCCCAGCACATTGGGAGGCTGAGGCGAGTGGATCACTTGAGGTCAAGAGTTCGAGACCAACCTGACCAACATGGTGAAACCTTGTCTCTACTAAATATAAAAAATTAGCCAGGTGTGGTGGTGCATGACTCTAATCCCAGCTACTTGGGCGGCTAAGGCAGGAGAATCTTTTGAACCTGGGAGGCAAAGATTGCAGTGAGCTGAGATGGCACCATTGCACTCCAGCCTGAGCAACAAGAGCAAGACTTCATCTCAAAAAAAAAAAAAAAAGGGTAAGAGTCAAACATGGAGAAACTCTCTATATCTCTATAGATGGACCTGGGACAATCTGAACACCAATTTCTTAACTGGACTGATACACATCAAGTATGTTTAAACTAGGAGTGAGTAATCATACACACACACACACACACACACACACAAATAA